TAGACAAGAAAGGAGCCCATGGGACGCACGCTCCTCCTGCGCCGGACATAGGAAGGGGCGGTGCTTCCGAGTGGCGGAGGAACGAGCCGGGCGCGGTACGCATGCGCGAGCCGTAGCTTCGTCCCTCCGGCGGGTCTGTTTGGTGGCCTTAGCTGATGTGGTTTTAGCACGGCTTCTGCGCTGTACGGGGCGGGTCCCCTCCGTTGGTGTGACTGTCCCTGAGAACCTCAAAGGAGGAATGAGCGGCTCTTATAGGAGGCCGTTTGCACTGCATCCCTGCCTTTACCCTTGCTGGCACCACATTGGACGTGCAAAAATCATAGCGATCGGGTGCATGCATGCGTGCATGCATTCATTCATTCATGCGACGTTTGTTCACCTGCGGTTCAGAAACAGCCCCTATTCAGAAGCTAGAGATACGTATGGACTCAAATAGAAAGAACAGTCTCTTACATGTTGAACAGAAGGAGTAACCTGGAGGTGGCGTGCGTGGAGAGCTCCATTCTTGAGGAATTCCTCTGTGCATGGACTCTTCCCTCATTTACCCTCTCACAGATGAGGAGAGGGAAGCACAGAGGCCTCTGCACAACTCGCTCGAATCGCAGAGCTACTCGGGAGGAGTTGGATTCAAACTCAAAGCAGTGTGGCTGCAGGTGAGGCAGGGTAGCCAGCATAGCTTAGGCATGATTTATGAGTTTCTTGCAGACAGGTCTAAATTTAAAATGGGTAAGCGTTCAGGCGTCTTCCTTATCGGTACATGACCAGGCATACCAGACATGACCACCTTTCAGGCTAAATGTAGATCTACCAGCACAGTACATCACAGAAACAAAAAGGAATTACCCAAAACACAGACATGATGTTCAGCAACAACAACAAAAAGGCCAAATTCTTTTTCATTATTTATAAGATCCTTGTGACATTAAAAGATTGTGAGATGGTAATCAAACTCATAACCAGATATCTGCCGCTCTCTGCTCCTTAGCTTATGAAATAGTTTGCTTAATCATCGTTGTAAAACTGTATAATGCTTCTTGACAAAGTCATGCGTGTGTCCTTCCTCTTAAGGCACCCATGCTCTCTCTCAAGCATGTTTTTTCTTTCTTATAATTCTTATCTTATAGTACATGTTGGACTTGCCCTGAAATTTTTTTTGGTGGCAGAGTCAGGAACTCACAGAACAACACCACCTCATGCCACTCAGCATCACAGTCTAAAACGCCAGGCTTAAGCCCTTCCAGAAGGTGAAGGTATGGCCTAGAAGTCAAGACCTAGGGCTGTTACTTGAACAAGAATCCAAATAAACAATGATCCTTAATGCAAGAAAAAGAGAACTAGAGAAAGAAGACACTCTTGACTGGAGCCTAGAACATCTGAGTCCAGGCCTGTGGGGTGTGAGTTTTGGGTGAGGAGGTGTGACCGATGTGGTGTGGTATGGATTTTACCACTTTCTAACAAGGGCCTCACACAAGCAGAATAGACACAGCCCTCCCTGTGAGGGGGCAGGTGCTAAGACAGGCCATGAGTGGGTCTGTGTCTTACCCTTTAGTGTAAGGCCACTGTCCATCCTCTGACTCTGCACCTAAATGACTCTCATGCCTACCTGGGCCTGTTCTTGGTGCGGGGGCTCAAAAGTATTTGTGGAATTAAATCAAATGGACATGGCATTAAAGATGCTCGATCATTGAACAATTTATGGCTTAAGCTGCATAGCTCGGCCAATAATCACTAGGAAAATATCAGGGTGAGTCCCAATAAACAGAAAGAAAAAAAAAAACCCATGTGAGAGGTAGAACTTATGAGCCATCTCCTGTAGACAGGTTTCATTGATATGAGGGCAGGGGAGGAAAATATTGAGGAAGAGCAGCAGGCACAGAAACAAAAAGCCTTCAGGCATCTCAGGAAGCGAGGAGCACAGGGCACTTCTTAGGGTAGAGTGAGAGGTGAGGCTGGTGAAATCACATGTGGCAGGAATCTGGAAGATTGGGAAGCCAGACAAAGGCATCCGGGAAGCCAGACAAAGACTGCAGTTGATGAAGGAAAAACCTGTAGACTCTTCAAGTAGGACGGTAACATCATAAAAAGGAACTCTTGGGGAATTGAACCCTGCAGTAACCAGCTAGCAGATACCATTTTTTTTCTATTCCCCCTTCCTCCAAAATTTCTGCTCAGCGTTGCAAGGATTCAGAAAAACAGAATACACCAAGAATGTCCTGCAGAAGAGATCAGAGGGTTACATACAGCAATGCCTAATGGAAAATACTGTGTGCCATATGTGTAATTTTATATAGCAGCTGTATTTAAAAATAGAAAAAGAAACAGGTAAAATTCATTTTAACAATATATTTTTATTTAATGTTTCCAAGATATTATTTCAACATAGGAGTAACAAAAATTATTGAGCTGTGTTACATTCTTATTTTCCTATTGTCTTCAAAATGCAGTATGCCTTATACACTTACAGCTCACTTCAACTTGGAGTAGCCAAATGTGACTAGTGGCTACATTATTGAACAGTGTTGCTCTGGGGGGGGGTCAGCCTAGAGGCTATTAAAATCTAGGTTTGAGTTGAGTGTGTTTTAAGACTATAAGAAAGGAAAAGAAAGAAAGAGGCTGATACTAAAAACATCTAGGGGAAAAGAACAACATTGCGTCCATTCACCAACATATATTAAACAACCTCTATCCAATTCCCTAATAATCAGAAGCTTGTCATCTACTGTGAGATACAAACATGTGAAAAGAAAAACGGAGAACCACACTATAAAGTCTACAGCAAATACACAGTGTTCTGGGAGCAAAATATCTGGCACCCTGGGAATATCTGGAACAGTTTCATGGAAGAGGTGATGCCTGGACAAGGCATGGTTTCAACACGTGTGTGAATCCTTTAGAGAATGGGGGTGGGGAGGAGGAAAAGGAACCGCTTGAAAAGACCCTGTGGATTTCTGGAAATGCAGGGCTCTCTGCTGGCAGTTGGGAGGATGAGGCACAAGGAGCCTCTGGTGTGTGCAGGGAGCACAAAGGTAGGAGAGAAACACAAGGGAGAGACGGCCACAGCTGGTGGTGAAGAGCTTCGGAGCTGACTATGGAATCTGAACCCCATGGGCTTGTGGAACCAACAGAAGCTCGACTCAGAAGCACGCCCTCGTAAGCCTGTTCTTAGCAACCACAGAGCAGTGTGGGGAACACAGTGGAACAGCTGTTATGGGGGTTCCAGGGCAGGCACATCACAGCCCCAGGACGTGATGGAGGCCTGTCGTAAGCAGGCAGCCTAGGGCTTGGGAGAGGCAGAACCAAGTGATGCTTTAAAATTGGAAGCAGGAGTGCTGGCAGCTGACTACATCTGGGGGCAACAGGAGGGAGGTGAGACTAACGCTCAGCTTTCCCAGCTGGGACACAGATGGATGGTGATGTCATCAACCCAGGTGCGAACAGAAGGGGCAGGCCTTGGGCCCGTGCAACCTAACTCCCCGATCAATTCCCACCCTCACCAGGCCTTGTCACCAGGATGGCACAGCCCATCTCCTTTGCCAAGCACTCCCCGGCTGGGTCATGACCACCATCTCCAAGATGGCCGTGGCCCTGACAGAGCAGGTCAGGCCACAGCATACCAGGAAGTGGGTCACAGTCATAGTAGGTCACAGGCATTGTGGATGATGTCATCCACACCGCCAGCACCAGTGTCATCCACAGCTTCCTCACGTGAGCCCCCAGCTTTGCCTTGGAGGATAGGCCCACACAGGTGTTACAGGGCTGTGGATGACTCACACGGTTCTGAGGTCTGCTGCCCGCAGTCTGGCCTCCAGCAGGGTAGCCAGAGCCATCTCTCTCTGCTCTGTGGACTCTCTGGATTTTTCCAGAACCTGCCTGGTAGCTCATGTTGGGGAATCAGACACAGAGCTGGAGTTCAAGTTCAAAGGCCTGGAGACTATCTGGTGAAAGTCACCGAGGCTGATGGGATCTGGGCCGGTTCCAGGGTGTTGGTGCTCCATAGGGGCACTGGTACCTGCTAGGTGCCTGAATACCTCAGCAGGTCTTGGCCCAAGCTAACCCCATCATAGCCAGCCAGACGATGGCCTAGACTATGACAGCCATAGCCAGCATGTCCTCCCACCCCTTGGCCCTGTATGAGCTCAAAGAAGCCAACATACTGCATACTGACCCTCAGCAGCCGGGAAAAGAGCTTTAAAAATGAAAAGAGAGAAGCTTTCTTCAAGAGCCTTGGCCCAGCATTCTCAGAGACAGAGGCCAGAGGCTTCAGGTTGGTCCTGTAAGTGGACTTGAGAAAAATCATCTAAGTGTCTCCTCACCACAGAGGATACCAGGAGGGCAACCCTTTTGGGTCCCCTCCCACTCTGGGAGCTTTCCTGTCCTCTCAATAAATCCTACTTTAAAAAAAAAAGGTGGGGGGGGACTAGGACAATCTTGTAGGATTCTCAAATTTTATGGGCCACTGGCCTCTGAGAATGCCCATTGCCTACTCCTGGCCATATGACATCTAGAGAGAGCTAGGGAAGACTTTGGAAAAGGGTGGGTGCAGTGGCTCAATCTATATAATATATATATTAACTATATATATATTAGCTGGGTGTCGTGGTGGTCTCTGTAGTCCCATGTACTCAGGAGGCTGAGGTGGGAGCATCACTTGAGCCCAGTAGGTCAAGGCTGCAGTGAGCTATAACCACACCTTTACACTCCAGACTGGGTGACTGACTGAGACCCTGAGTGAGAGGTGGGGGGAGGAGAATAGGGAGGGAGAAGAGAAGAAAGGAAGGGAGGGGAAAGGAGGGGAAGGGAAAGAAGAAGAGGGACCCGTCCTAACCCTGGCCAGCCCCTGGCCTCTGACAAGTGCTGCCTGCTGGGGGCTGGAGCTGTGACGTCACTGCAGCCTCTCAGGTGAAGCAGCCCCTCCAGCAAGCCTAGAGTCCAGATGCTTGGGGAACCCATCTTGTGTTTCGTATTTGTTTAAAGAGAAAAATCACACCTCCCATTTGTATTTAAGCACTGACTCCTCTTTTGCACAGCCAAAAGAATATTTGCAGTTTTGTTCCATTGCGGGCATTCTTCTGAGAAAGAGTAAAAACAGAACACTAAAAACAAACAAACAAACAAAAGAATAGAAAGGAAAGTCCAGATTTGAGGTCAAGGACATGCCAGGTCTCAAGTGTGCCCGGGGCCTTCAGCTCCAGGTATCTGAAGCTCTGGATACCTGAGCTGTCAGCACAGATGAGTGTCGCCTGGGAGGTGTCTACACTGGTCACAGGGGCTGTAAGGATGGAGATTCCACCAGGGGAAAGCGTGTGGGCCAGGGGAGAGGAGACCCAGAGATGGAGCTCTGTGGACTCTCCACTGCCTGGGAGGGGGACCAAGGAAGACCGACCACTGAGAGAAACGGAACCATGAGAGGAGAGGCTTCTGGGAAGCCGCTGAGCTTATGCAGCTGCACCAGAACAGTCCCTGGTTTGCATGTTCACCCACATCCAGCATGTGGTTGTGAGTCTTACCCATTTCCTCCATGACTGGCCTTCAGCCTGTGGGCAGGAGAACAGGAGTTGGTTGGGGAGGCTTCCCAGACTACGATGTCTGGAGGGTCTATGGAACATTGAGGAGGATGGGGATGGTTAGGAAGAGAAAGAAAGAAGACAGGCATGAAGTGGGAGAGGGCTGGGGTCAGCCAGCAGAAGGGAAGGGCTTTTCCAAGGTGTGGGGTGGGGCGGAGCAACCAGCTCATCTCAGGGTCTTTGGGGCCAGAGGGGACTTGGTGAGATCAAGAGGTGGATGCCGCCAACTGTGACACCAGAGAGGGCTACGGTGACTTGCTCCGCTGAGGGCCGGGAGGTCAAGGTGGCTGTGGGTGGGAAGCTGAAGGTCTGCAGGTCCTGAAAAGTTGAGGTTCCTTCTGCCCTTGTCCAGTGGGAAGAAGATGGGAAACAGGTTTGGGGAGTTAGACTGCATGGAACAGCATTCCGCAGAGTCTCCAGGGAAGGGGAACTAGGAAAATAACGTGGGTAAGAGTCCCCAGAAAGACTGGGCACTCTGACGAGGTGGGAGGTGGACGGCAGGATGAGGTTCTGACTGGAGGCCCATGCAGGGTGGTGCCCCCAGGTGAGGTCATGTCCCCACTCCAGCTCTCTGAAGTACATCTTAAGATGCTCGTTTTCACAACAGGAAGCACCAGCCAGAGGGGCGCTCCATGTTGAGGCAATGAGGAACCGCAAAGCTTAATAGATTCACACAGAAGCTGGGTTTGGTCGTGCCATGTGGTCCAGGCTGGTGGGAATCCACCCAGCATGGCCCTCCCTGGGGCCAGGCTGCTGGAGGCTCTTTGGTTTTCAGGGAAGAATCAAGGAGGGGCTCCTTCAAGGGCTTGTTCTGGGAAGAAGGGTGTCCATGCCCACTTCCAGTTCCTCCCACGACAGGGACGCAGCCCCTCCGATATCAGGGAGCAAAGCGAACTCACCAAACATCAGAGAGAGGACAACCGTGAGCTCTGAAGAGCGCCTGGGAGAGGGGCGGGGGAGTCGCCAGTCAGTCAGTGACCCCACTGGCTTCGAGTGGTGACTTCTGGGCATTAGGGCCCTGCATTTCTGTAAGCTGTGCTTGTCCGTGGGATGGAAAACAGCAGAACCAGTTCCATCCAGTGACAAGAGCTAAAGTGTGACCGAGTGTTGGTGTGCCAGGAATGTTCCTGTAAAGACGAAACACACACAGCACAGAAGTGGGGGACGACTTTTCCTTTTGTTTTGCCTTTGAAGGTGACCTCAGGGGACACTGGTGTGTCTGTGTTTTCTGAAAACCCAGGGCCACTCCTGGATGGAGCTTGGGGGCGGGGGGATCTCTCTGAAGATGTCACATGCCTTCCCACAGAAGTCAGGTGCTTCCCAACTCCTGGTGGAGCTGCACCTGGAACCCAGGGTCACACAACATCCCGCTGGCTGAGGGAGGAAAGACCCTTTCCAAATCTCCAGTTCCTTGTCTTTTACTCCAGTACAGACTCACAGACCCGTTTGAGTGATCAGATGGGCAACCAGTCCTCAGTCACAAAAGCCCAGACCCGGGAGCCCGAGGAGCCCAGGCCCTGCAGACCGTGTGAAAACAGAACCAGCCTGGTTGGTCCTGCGGGCAAGACCTGAGGGACACATGGGGTCAGGCTCTTGGTTGGCCAGGGTTCTAGCCATTCCTGCACATGTTGTGCAGAAGGGAAATGATGCAACTCTGAGAAGTTTCCAGAGCCTGTCCCTTTCGGTTCCCCTCCCACCCGCACTCCCACCCCCACCGTCTTGAAAGAGGGCTGACCATGCCCCTTCATTTAGCCCTCCACTCTTCAGTATATTTTCTAGTTCCTTCTAAGTCTAAAGCACTGGGACAAGTGCTAGGGATAACAAGTACCAACGACACAGTTGCAGTCCACTCGCACGCGTGTCCTAAGAGAGGTCAACCTCCCCCTGCTGTCACCTCACAGAGCTCAGGAGCCTGCACCTGGATGTGCACGCAAGCCCTTAGCAGCGCTTACTGAAAGAAATGATCATCGATGGGCTTCCACGCAGGCACTAGTACTGGAAACAGCTTCTAGCAGCAAAACATAGCTTTCCAAGCAGCCTTTTAAAAAGGGGACCGAATGCACAAGACGCTGCTTATCTCACTCCTGCCTCACTTCCAGGAGTGAAGTCTGGGTGTGTTTGCCTTTTCCCCACTTCATATTAGACTCCACCAAGTTTCTGCATCTCGATTTTGAAAGATAAACAAGGAATCAGAAATATGCAGTCATCTTGAAGATTTAAAACAATAACCAAAAATTGACCCGGGGTGAGCCCTAATCAGGAACATAGCTTCCACAAGCCTGACCCTGGCAGGCACTTAACTCACACCTGGTCACTGCAGGCAGGACTCCAAGACTCACTATAGGGTCCCGAGCAGTTCAGGGCTCTCGGTCCTCCACAGAGCTTTCCTCCTTCTTCATTCTCTTCTCTCAACCTAGTACTCCACCTCCCATACTAGCCACATAATCCATCCCCAAGTCCCAGCCTTCTCCATCTGGGTAATTTCACCCAGTTTTTAGGCTCATTCCAAATTTCACATTTTTGTTCATTTTCTTCTCTCAGCCTAGAATACCACCTCCCATCCTGTCCACACCATGCCTGGCCAATTCCAACCTCAACTTCCCCAAGGAGATCCCTTAGATGGCTCCTGCCTTTAGTGTTCAGCCTTGTCTGTAAATTCCCATTGATCCAATAATTGTATCACTGGGGGCATGGGAGGGACAGGCCTAGAGAGCCTCTCTGTCCATGGGTTCACCCTCCTCCAGACAGGAGACATGAGTGCAGTTGGAAGACCCGTGTTCTGCCTTGCTAGGGTGCAGTGGCATCTCTTGCCTTGGGTGTCAAGTCCATTCTCCCTTTTTCTGGCAGCAAGGCCTTAATTCCACTGTGGGAGACTAACCCCCCTCCCTAATCAATGCTGTTTTGAAGGAATGACTTCAATCAAGGTCTCTGCTTTAGGCATGTGGCCAAATTGGGTCATTCAGTGATGACAGCTGCCCACTAGATACTCCCCCCAACCCCAGCCAAGCTAGCTGTGCCAGGGCGGAGAGAGCCCAGAGACAAGTGCCACTTATGCCTTTCTCTCTGTGGATGGTTGCATAGGTCAGATCCTGCTCCCTGGAGCCTCACAGCCCTCCAGCTCTGGTTCTTTCACAGACTGTCCTTCAGATGCCCTCATGACCACCCAGGAGTCCCCCAGGCCTTCCTCTTCAGCTTGTCAGGTGTAGAGTCAAACTAAACCAGGTTTACATAGAGCACATATTGACCCTGGGCCACGCACTGCTTGGTAGATGTGCAGGGGCATGTGCTGTGTTCTAAATGTTTGTGCCCCCGAAATCCACATATAGACACCTAACTCCCAGTCTGATAGTAGTAAGCGGTGGGTGGGACCTTCAGAAGGAGGTGATGAAATGATTAGGGTGGAGCCTCATGAATAGGATTAGTCAGCTATTTGCTGCCCTGCAACAGGCCATCCACAATGTAGGAGCTTAAAAGAGCAACAACCATTTTCTACCCATAATTCCATGGGCCAGCAATTCTGGCTGGTCTCAGCAGTGTGGTTCTTCTGTTGTGTTCCCCGAGGTCAGTCATGCAGACATAGTCTTCTGAGTCTCAGCTGGGCTGAGTGGTCCATAATGGTCTCACTAACGAGTTTGACACCCCACTGGGACAGAGGGCTGCTCTGTTCATGGTTCTCATCTTCCCCGGGGCCTCTCATCCTCACGGAAGCTGGCCTGGGCTTGTACTTACAGCAGAAGTAGCATTTAAGGACACACGAGAGTACACCCAAAGCCATATTAGATTGTGTCCTCCTGGTTGAGGAGAGTCACATGTTCAAGGTCAGGGTAAAAGTGGGAGTCAGTGGTAGAGAAACTGTGCCCTGGAGGAGGGTTCTGTGGGGGTACAGGAGCCCTGAGCTGCTCAGGACACCCTACAGTGAGGCCCCGTCTCTCTCCAGCCCACCCTGTATCACTGTCACCACCGTGCACTGTGTCGGGGGCCTTCTAGGCAGCCAGTTCTCTCCTGCACTTTGTCCTTGCTGTGACCTCCACCTGGGATTCCATCTCCATGTCCCAGCCTTCTCCATCTGGCTGATTTCACCCAGTTTTAAGGTTTATTCCAAATTTCACATTTTCATTTTTCTTCTCTCAGTCTAGAATACTACCTCCCACCCCATCCACACCAACACCTGGTGGGTTCTAACCTCAGCTTTCCTATGGAGACTCCTTAGATGGCTCCTGATTTCAGAGACCAGTCTTGTCTGCATCTTATACCTCTTTCACGGAATAGCATTTAGAGATGAGGACACAGTATTCTCAGGAATAAAACATCTAACAGGGAGACCCGCTCCGGGAATAGGTGCTGGTGACAGAGCTGAGGTGTTGCTTCCAGCTTTCAGCGCAGGATGATGAGGGAACAGGGAACAAGCCCTGCATGTGTTGCCGCTGCTGGCGTTCTCTTTGGGGTTTTTTGTTTTTGTTTCTTGTGGGGTAGGGTGTGGTCAGGCAAGCTGACCTCTAAACGGAACCACAAATGACAAGTAAAATTAGCAAAGGAGGGCGGGGCACGGAGAGGGAGTTTCAGGCTGAGGATTTACAAAGAGCATACGTAAAGAGGAACGAGACATCATGGTTCTTTAGAAACTCTAGAGCCGGGCTCGGTGGCTCAGCCTGTAATCCCGCGCCTTTGGGAGGCTGAGGTGAGTGGATTGCCTGAGCCCGCGGGTTCAAGACCCGCCTGGGCAGTGAGACCTCATCTCTACAATAAGTCAAAAAATCAGCCGGGCGTGGTTGGAAGGCTAAGGCAGAAGGATCGCCGAAGCCCCGCAGGCGAGGCTGTGGTGGCCGGGAGCGGCCACTGCACTCCAGTCTGGGCGACAGTGAGACTCCAACTCAAAAAAAAAAAAAACTCTAAGCACAGGACTTCCTGGCTGGGAGAGTGAGGGAGAGGAGTGAGTGAGAGGGGTCCCTCTATGCGTGCTAGGGAGGAAGTGTACTACATACTCCTGCCAAAACCTAGGCCCATCCTGTGGCATTTAGCAGTGGGGCCTTCAGGAGATAAGTCCATTACCAATGGGTAAGGGCACCAATAAAAGAGGCCCAAGAAGCAGGAGCCACTTCTGTCTCCTGAGGACACAGAAGGCCTCTGCAGGGAGGAACAGGCCTTCACCAGACACCAAATCTGCTCATGCCCTGATATTAGACTTCCTAGCCTCTGGAGTTGTGAGAGATAAATGTCTGGTGTTTATACATTGCCCAGTCTAAGGTATTTTTGCTACAGCAGCCTGGATGGACTAAGACCATGTTCTTCCACGTGGTGAGTAGAAGTGTGATGCGTTTTTGGAGGTCAGGACTGGCTCATTGTCATCGAAATTCAGAAAGGAGAAGGGAGCTCCGAGGAGTCCCTTGATCACAACGTTCTCACCTACAAGACCTTTGTGCTGAGTCCTGTCATCTCTTCCCATCCTAAGGAAAGGCTTGCAAAGGGACTTAGCTCTAGTCTCCATCTTTACAAATCCATGAGGACATCCGTGAACACAAGAGGTCAGAGTCACTCTTGTCTCTTGCTCAACCTGCAAAAATGTGTAAAATCAGGTTGCTGGG